CCACGACGTGGTGTGAAACTGGGGATGCACCTTCAGCTCCGGGAATTGGTGACCCCTTTCCTAGAAGACTCATGAGTCATCCACCCCTTGGTTAGCAGATCATCAAGTAATAACCGTAAAAATGGGCAACCAGCAGCTCTCGGGGCTGCTCTGGCTATGGAGTACACATTCTTTATTCCTCTACTCTCCTAATAAACTTGCTTTCACTTTACTCTGTGGACCCACCCGGAGTTCTTTCCACAAGATCCAAGAACCCTTTCGAACTCCTGAAGGGATCGGGTGATGTGCCCACCTCCGCCTCCCAGGGTGCTGCTGGGATTATAGATGGGACCCGCTGCACCCAGCCAGGATAGACTTTTTCACTCAATTTTTAATTTATTTATTTTTTTTTAAGATGGAGTCTCACTCTGTTGCCCAGGCTAGAGTGCAGTGGTGCGATCTCGGCTCACTGCAACCTCCACCTCCCGGGTTCCAGCGATTCTCCTGCCTCAGCCTCCCGAGTAGCTGCGGCTACAGGCATGCACCACCACTCCTGGCTAATTTTTTGTATTTTTAGTAGAGACGCGGTTTCACCGTGTTTGTTAGGATGGTCTCGATTTCCTGACCTCATGATCCGCCCGCCTCGAGCTCCCAAAGCCCTGGGGTTACAGATGTGAGCCATCGTGCCCAGCCCAAGGTTTCATGTCTTAATATCAATTTCAAGCAGTGGTTTTAGTAAAAGATATTCATAGGCCAGGTGTGGTGGCTCACGCCTGTGATCCCCGCACTTTGGGAGGTCAAGATGGGCGGTTCCCTTGAAGTCGGGAGTTCGAGACTGGCCTGGCCAACACAGTGAAACCCCAGCTGTACTGGAAATAAAAAAATTAGCCGGGCATGGTGTCGGGCACCTGTATTCCCAGCTACTCGGGAGGCTGAGGCAGGAGAATCACTTGAACCCGGGAGGCGGAGGTTGCAGTGAGCTAAGATCGTGCCACCGCACTCCAGCGTGGGCTACAGAGCAAGACTCTTTCTCAAAGAAAAAAAAACACACAAAAAGGGCCAGGCATGGTGGCTCACGCCTGTAATCCCAGCACTTTGGGAGGCTGAGACGGGCGGATCACGAGGTCAGGAGATCGAGACCATCCCGGCTAACACGGTGAAACCCCGTCTCTACTAAAAATAAAAATAAAAACATTAGCCGGGCGTGGTGGCGGCGCCTGCAGTCCCAGCTACTCGGGAGGCTGAGGCAGGAGAATGGTGTGAACCCGGGAGGTGGAGGTTGCAGTGAGCCAAGATCATGCCACTGCACTCCAGCCTGGGCGACAGAACGAGACTCCGTCGCAACAAAAAAACCAAAAAAAAGAGATTTATGATTTTAAAGATTGAGTTACATGTTGTGAAGTTGCCCTCCCAAAAGGTATGTACAAGTGTATGTGCACGCCCTTCCTTTGGGTGTCCGGCCAATTCTCCTCGTGCTCTTCACAGTAGAAATGATGGCTTCTCGGAATGTTGCCAGTGTTACAGGAAAACAGGTGGAGGGTCATTCCCTCTGAAGATCTGCTGAAAAATCCACTTGCAAAAGCAGATGAATGGGAGAAAAGGCATACAGCGTTTACTGAACGTATACCTACATGCTTTCATCTTCTCGGTTTTCTTTTATGTGTTTGCCTTGGGAAAGCATTCTCATTTTTCTTCTCCAGATCTTCTCCAGAGTTTCGCTCCGTCGCCCAGGCTGGAGTGCAGTGGCCGTATCTCAGCTCACTGCAAGCTCCGCCTCCCAGGTTCACGCCATTCTCCTGCCTCAGCCTCCCGAGTAGCTGGGACTACAGGCACCTGCCACCTTGCCCGGCTAGTTTTTTGTATTTTTTAGTAGAGACGGGGTTTCACCGTGTTAGCCAGGATGGTCTCAAACTCATGACCTGGTGATCTGCCCATCTCAGCCTCCCAAAGTGCTGGGATGACAGGTGTGAGCCACCGCACCTGACCCTCAATATTGTATTCTTATTCAGGAACAGCCCTTGTTGGTAAGAGGCATTGGATTTTCACCGATGCGTTTTCTGAAACACATATGATGACAGATGTCTTTCTTTTAATCTTTGGAATGTGTTAAACATTCTTTTAGGCTTTTTGATCTTATTTATTTAACATAATTATCATGCTGATATTCAAAATATATCTGAGATGGCTTTGCGAACCCCGAAAACTTGAGACAGGTGTCAGTTAATTTAGAAAGTTTGTTTTGCCGCATTTAAGGACGGGCGCCTGTGACATAGCCTTAGGAAATCCTGACGACATGGGTGCAAGGTCGTTGGGGCACAGCTTTTGTTGTTGTTGTTGTTGTTGTTGTTTTTGAGACAGTGTCACTCTGCCACCCAGGCTGGAGTGCAGTGGCGCAATCTCAGCTCACTGCAACCTGCGCCTCCCAGGTTCAAGCAATTCTCCTGCCTCAGCCTCCTGAGTAGCTGGGACTACAGGCACATGCTACGATGCCTGGTTAATTTTTTAAGCTTTTTTTTAGTAGAGATGGGGTTTTGCCATGTTGGCCAGCCTGGTCTCGAACCCCTGACCTAGTGATCTGCCCACCTTGGCCTCCCAAAGTGCTGGGATTACAGGCGTGAGCCACTGCGTCTGGCCACAGCTTGGTTTTATACGTTTTAGGGAGACATGAGACATCAATATATGTAAGAACTACGTTGGGGTGGGTGCAGTGGCTCACACCTGTAATCCCAGCACTTTGGGAGGCTGAGGCGGGTGGATCACCTGAGGTCGGGAGATCGAGACCAGCCTGGCCAACATGGTGAAACCCCATCTCCACTAAAAATACAAAAAGTTAGCTGGGCGTGGTGGCAGGCTCCGGTAATCCCCGCTACTCGAGAGGCTGAGGCAGGAGGATGGCTTGAACCCAGGAGGCGGAGGTTGCAGTGAGCCGAGATTGTGCCATTGCACTCCAGCCTGGGTGACAAGAGCAAAACTCCATCTCAAATATAAAGAAGAAGTAGAGTCCTTGACAGGTGGGGACAACTGGAAACAGGGAGGGGCTTCCAGGTCACAGGTAGGTGAGACCCAGATGGCTGCGTTCGTTTGGATTTCTGATGAGCCTTCCCAGAGGAGGGGATCAGATATGCGTCTGTCTCAGTGAGCACAGGCATGACTTTGAATAGAATGAAAGGCAGGTTTGCCTTCAGCAGGTTCCAGCTGGACTTTCCCTTTGAGCTTCCTGATTTTGGAGGGCCAAGATATTTTCCTTTCACAGCTTCCATCAGGATACATATACCATGTAGTTAATTCAGAAAATTAGGCCGGGCGCGGTGGCTCACGCCTGTAATCCCAGCACTTTGGGAGACCAAGGTGGGCGGATCACGAGGTCGGGAGATCGAGACCATCCTGGCTAACACGGTGAAACCCCGCCTCTACTAAAAATACAGAAAATTAGCCAGGCGTGGTAGTGGGTGCCTGTAGTCCCAGCTACTCGGGAGGCTGAGGCAGGAGAATGACTTGAACTCGGGAGGCGGAGCTTGCAGTGAGCTGAGATTGTGCCACCGCACTCCAGCCTGGGCGACACAGCAAGACTACGTCTCAAAAAATAATAATAAAAGTAAAAAATAAAAAAGAATATATATCTAAAAGAAGCAATGAACCTTCATCCACCTTGAAATATTGTTACAATAATTGTGTAGCAAAGTGATCGCCTCTGGGCATCTTCGGAGCTCAGAGGAAAGGACATTATTGCTCAAATACTTCTCTTTGTCTTATTTAAAAGAACTATGAGGCCAATTCTAAGGCCAATGATGTATTCCTAACATTAAATTCTAAAAGGAGTCTATAATGGTTGTGTGCCTTCAAGGGACATTATGTAACAACACAAATAACATCTCTTTAAAAAGTGTTTCTAAGGCATCAAGAGAAAAAGTGGAGCATATTTACAGGAGCAAAGCTGGAAACATCCAGTTTTCTCTGTGTCTGATGATTGAGGTTACTGGAGAGAGGGAGAGGCACGTTTCTCACTTTACCACGGTTATCCGATCGATTTTTATCACTATGTCCTTGATACTAAAACATTTCTCTAAACTGCTTGAACCAAGGTGCAAAGAGTTTAACGCGTGCTTAGTACACTGCAGAGCTTGCAATAGATGTGAGGGAAATTCTTGATAGCTTGGTAAGTTTGCCAAATTGCTCTTATGGATGTCTTTTATGATTTGAGACTGAAGAAGGCCACGTGTGGCCAGGCGCGATGGCTCATGCTTGTCGTCCCAGCACTTTGGGAGGCCAAGGCGGGTGGATCACCCGAGGTCAGGAGTTCAAGACCAGCCTGGCCAACATGGTGAAACCCCGTCTCTACTAAAAATACAAAAAATTAGCTGGCTGTGGTGATGGGAGCCTGTCATCCCAGCTACTCTGGAGGCTGAGGCACGCGATTCGCTTGAACCCGGAAGGCGCAGGTTGTGCCACTGTACTCCAGCCTGGGTGACAGAATGAGAATCTGTCTCAAAAAAACAAAAAAACAAGACCACATGGAAAGCCAGGTGCAGTGACTCCTGCCTGTAATCCCAGCACTTTGGGAGGCTGAAGCAGGTGAATAACTTGAGGTCAGGAGTTTGAGACCAGCCTGGCCAATATGGTAAAACTCCAGTCTTTACTGAAAATACAGAAAATTAGCAGAGTGTGGTGGCAGGTGCCTGTAGTCCCAGCTACTGGAGAGGCTGAGGCAGGAGAAGCGCTAGAACCGGACAGGTGTAGGTTGCAGTGAGCCGAGATTGCACCACTGCACTCCAGCCTGGGCGACAGAGTGAGACTCTGTCTCAAAAATAAATAAATAAAAATAAAAAATTAGTAACATAATTTAACGTGTCTGACCCCAATACAATTAAGGGATGAGTCTGTAATAAGAAGGTGAACTAGAACAGTCCGCACGCATTGGCAAACTGGCCAAGAGATGGCATGATCACACGTGGGTCCAGGGCATGAGGCACTTAGGCAGGAATGCCGTCAGCCTCTCACACCTTCTCCTGCTTGCCCCGCAGTGCCTGCTACTCAGCCCACGCAGCGTACGCCCAGAGCAAGCTGGCCCTCGTCCTGTTCACCTACCACCTCCAGCGGCTGCTGGCGGCCGAGGGAAGCCACGTGACCGCCAACGTGGTGGACCCTGGGGTGGTCCACACGGACCTCTATCAGCATGTGTTCTGGGGCACCCGTCTGGTCATGAAGCTTTTCAGCTGGTTGCTTTTCAAGGTAAGCCCCTTCTGCTTCTCTGGTTCATGGCTACACGTGAAGATGCTACGGGAAAGGGGTTCCCAATCCGGACCCCAAGGGACGGTTCTTGGATCTCATGCAAGAAAGAATGCAGGAGTCGTCTGCGGTGCACAGCGAAAGCAAGTTTGTTGAGGAAGTAGAGGAATAAAGAATGGCTGCTCCGGAGACAGAGCAGCCCTGAGGGTTGCTGGTGGCCCATTTTTATGGTTATTTGTTGATGATACGCTACACAAGGGATGGATTATTCATGCCTCCCCTTTTTAGACCATACAGGGTAGCTTTCTGATGTTGCCGTGGCATTTGTAAGTGTCATGGTGCTGGTGGGAGTGTAGCAGTGAGGACAACCAGAGGTCACTCTCGTCTCCATTTTGCTTTTTGTGGGTTCTGGCCGACTTCTTTACTGCAACCTGTTGTATCAGCAAGGTCTTTGTGACCTGTACCTCGTACCGACCTCTTATGTCATCCTGCGACTTGGAATGCCTTAACCGTCTGAGAATGCAGCCCGGTAGGTCTCTGCCTCATTTCACCCTGCCCCCATTCAAGACGGAGTCACTGTGGTTCACACACCTCTGACACAGCCACTTCCAGGCCGCGTGTGCGGTGTTGGGGGCTCGCATTGGGTGATGTGTTTGTACATTCTCACCCCAAAGCCTTGGTTGCCTGCGAGCTCGGTGGGTGACGCTGTGTAGCTGGGTAGTGTCCATAAACGAATCTTCTTAGGAGCTGGAGACCCTTTGGGGATGCCGTGGTAGGGAAGGGAAAGGCCAAGGGAAAAACATCCCCCTTTGCCTTTTGAAGGTTTGCTAAAAAATCAGCCCCCAAAATACAGTTTCCCTTATTGAAAGATGAATAAAGGAAATGACAGGCAAGTGTATTCTCATACATGGAGGAGAATGTCAGAGGAACTGCCCCGTCGCACAAGGGGGTACACGTGCTTTTGTCCTCTTCTCCTTAGGGGAAAGGGAGTGGGGAATTGGGGGGGAATTTAGGGAACAGCAAATGATTTTTAAGGGAAGTCAATGGGTTTGAACATGTACAGTGGCCCGAAAGCAGATCATGTTTTCTGTTGTTGTTGTTTGTTTGCTTGTTTTTTTTTGGAGATGGAGTTTCGCGCTTTGTTGCCCAGACTGGAGTGCAGTGGCGCGACCTCTGCCCAGTGCAGCCTCCGCCTCCCGGGTTCAAGCGATTCTCCTGCCTCAGCCTCCGGAGTAGCTGGGATTACAGGCGTGAACCCCCACAGCCGGCTAATTTTGTATTTTTAGTAGAGATGGGGTTTCGCCATGTTGGCCAGGCTGGTCTTGAACTCCTGACCTCATGATCCGCCCGCCTCGGCCTCCCAAAGTGCTGGGATGACAGGTGTGAGCCACCGAGCCCAGCCTCAGATAATGGTTTATGACGAGTCTGTCCAGGGACAGAGGCTGTTGAGCCCGCAGAACAGACAGTGGTTTATGAGAATTCTCTGCAGGGCTGTTGACAGACGTCAGTCTTTCCTCCCGCGATGTGGGTTCAGAAGCTCAGGGAAGGGGCCAGTGGTCATTTTTCTTCTTTGGCGGGTCCGGATTCAGGGAATTTCAGAGAACAATTTCATCCTGTGCATCGGGAGACACAGAGGACCCAGGACGGGGAGGTCAGAGAGATCTTGAGGCGTGTTCAGTTCCGCAGGATAAAGCCCCGTACTTTGGGGTATTGGTTTTTAAGATCCAGCCACTGAATGGTCCCACGTTTCTGCAATGATCTGTGTTGTTATGATGCGTTATCTTCTTAAGCACTGCAGGATTTGATGCCCCAGCCATTCCCTTCAGTTCTTTTCTCTGTCTGTTTGTTTGAGATGGAATCTCTCTGTCGCCCAGGCTGGAGTGCCGTGGTACGATCTCGGCTCACAGCAACCTCCGCCTACCCGGTTCAAGCAATTCTCCTGCCTCAGCCTCCTGAGTAGCTGGGACTACAGGTGTGCACCACCACGCCTGGCTAGTTTTTGTATTTTTAGTAAAGACACGGTTTCACCACGTTGGCCAGGCAGGTCTCGAACTCCTGACCTGCCTCAAGTAATCTGCCCGCCTTGGTCTCCCGAAGTGCTGGGATGACAGAAGTGAGCGACCGTGCCTGTCCCCCTTGAGGTCTTTTGCAGTGATATGTATCTGGGAGCTATAGATTTACTTTCTTTCCTGTCTATCTCAAGTTGGGATTCTAAAGTTTTAATAATGTGTTTACAAAACAAAGAACCTCGAGAAGCTTTTCTGTTTTTCCCATTACCTTGCAGAATCATCTAATTAGCATTTTTAAAAGCATCTGCTTTTGAAACACTGCCACGATTCGCCTTCAAAACCGCGTGGGTTGAGGAATTTTCAGAAGAGCGATTCTAACTCAGCTTTCAAAATTCCTTGGGCGTCTGTTGCTTCGTTGAAGTTTTCCACCTCTTTCTGAGTCAGTTTAGACAGCTTTTCCCTTAGATAATTGTCTGTTTCGTCAAGTTTTGGAATTAATGCTTGGTTACAAATTTCCTTTCTCCCTCTTGGACTCCTGGCATTGCTCTTGATTTCATCTGAAAGGCTCTCATGAAATGACCTGCGCTCCCCCATCGCAGACGTTTTCGGGGGATTAATTCCTTCCCTTATTTTGCAGTTTGCTTTCTTATCAATTGTTCTTCGAATCTCTAATTCCTCAAGCAATGGAATTTCTTTTTTTCTTTTTCCTTTTTTTTGTTTTTTTGAGACAGAGTCTCGCTGTGTCGCCCAGGCTGGCGTGCAGTGGTGTGATCTCAGCTCACTGCAACCTCCGCCTCCCGGGTTCAAGTGATTCTCCTGCCTCAGCCTCCTGAGTAGCTGGGATGACAGGTGCCCGCCACCATGCCTGGCTAAGTGTTGTATTTTTAGTAGGGATGGGGTTTCACCATGTTGCCCAGGCTGGTCTCGAACTCCTGACCTCAGGTGATCCGCCCGCCTCGGCCTCCCTACATGCTGGGATGACAGTCATGAGCCACCGCGCCCAACTGTACTGCCCTTATTTTGCAGTTTGCTTTCTTATCCATTGTTCTTCGCATCTCTAGTTCCTCAAGCAAAGGAATTTCAAAATACTAGTTACTGTATTAAGCACTAAGTTTTTGCTAGCAAGACACCACAATTTGGATACATTCCATGCTTATAAAACCCCCATGAATCCCTCAGAGTGACTTTGGTATCCAAGGAGAGCATTTGCTGTTTTTCTTTCTTTTACATTTTTTTTTTTTTTTTTTTTTTTTTTTTTTTTTTTGAGACGGAGTCTGGCTCTGTGGCCCAGGCTGGAGTGAGTGGGCACGATCTTGGCTCACTGCAAGTTCTGCCTCCCGGTTTCACGCCTTCTCCTGCCTCCAGCCTTCCCGAGTAGCTGGGACCACAGGTGCCCACCACACGCCTGTAATTTTGTGTGTGTGTGTATTTTTTAGTAGAGACGGGGTTTCACCGTGTTAGCCAGGATGGTCTCGATCTGCTGACCTTGTGATCCGCCCTCCTCGCCCTCCCAGAGTGCTGGGATTACAGGCTTGAGCCACCGCGCCTGGCCTCTTTTAAAGTTTTTAGTGACCAGGTCTTGCTCTGTTAACCTGGCTGCACTACTTTTTCTTTTTTTTGTAGAGACGGCATGTTGCTGTTCGCCCAGGGTGGTCTTGTGCGCTGGGATTATGATAAAATGCCTGGCAGCGGCCTTGAAATCCTGGCCTCAGGTGATTCTCCCACCTCTGCCTCCCAAAGTGCTGAGATGACAGGCATGAGCCACCATGGCTGGCCTTGATCTTTTTTTTTTTTTTGTAAATATTTAACAAGCAAAGTGGAACTTTAGCCACATGAATCATTCTTTAATCCTTTGATCATCATCTACAAATTTCGATTAAAAATAACCACGGAGCGTTGCTTGAGTCACACTCTGCCTTTGTATAAGAGACAACATTATGGAAACTTTAAAATTCTAGAGTAGAAGAATATGCATTAGCCTGGCAATGAAATTAAAATAATCTAAGAATTTTAAAGAGAAGGCTATCCAGCAGCAGTAGCTTGATGCTGCCTTTATAATGCGAATTCTGTATTGCTGTATATGTATTATTTACTAGTGCGTATGCATGCACGCATTGTATATTAAGACTTGGAAGATCAGCTGGGTGTGCCGTGTCTCATGCCTGTCATCCCAGCACTTTGGGAGGCCAAGCTGGGCGGATTACTTGAGGTCAAAAGTTCAAGACCAGCCTGGCAAACATAGTGAAACACCATCTCTATTAAAAAATACAAAAAAATGAGCCAAGCGTGGTGGTGCATGCCTGTCATCCCAGCTACTGGGGAGGCTGAGGCAGGAGAATCGCTTGAACCCGGGAGGCGGAGGTTGCAGTGAGCCGAGATTGCACCACTGCACTCCAGCCTGAAACTCCATCTCAAAAAAAAAAAAAAACGAAGAAAGACAAACGTTGCAGGACCTGCCCAGTGGTCCCTGGAGAGAATCTGTGTGACGTACATATCTCTGTGAGCTTTCATATCATCTGAGGGCATAGTTGGATGTCACTCTGAAGCCGCTATCCTCTGTGTCATCAGAACACGTGGACTCAATTCCAGTTTCACAGCCACTCACCTGGGCGACCAGTTACTACCTGGAGAAAAACCAGGAGGTTGGTTGGTTGGTTTTTGAGATGGGATCTCACCTTGTCCCCCAGGCTGGAGTGCAGCGGCACAATCACAGCTCATGGCAGCCTCGACCTGCTGGACTCAAGCAATCACGCCACCTCCACCTCCTGAGTAGCTGGGACTACGGGAATGCACCACCACACCGGGCTAATTTTTTAAACATTTTTCGGTAGAGCCAGGGTGGGTCTTGCTATGTTGCTCAGCCTGGTCTCCAGTTCCTGGCCCCCAGCAATCCTTCTGCTGTGGCCTCCCCAAGCACTGGGATTATGGTTTGTGCGTTTATAAAGACGAGGGGTTTGATTTGTCCGGTATACAGATGCACCAGGCCATTCCTCG